TAACACTTGGTAATGAATATGAACACAGATTAAGTCCTTATAGTGATTAAATACCTTTGTACAATTCAAATTAATGCAATTTGCAATAGCAAAAAAAAACAAGTGCAATTATTCATTCCACCAGAATGGGCAGACTTCAATCATACCAACAAATAAACAGATAAACAAATTATACATGAGTACACGTGGTTAAATATGTTCTATTTTACAAACCCCATTATGAGCTTCACCTGAGCTTATAATATGATGAACACTAAGCAAATTCAAGTGGTGTTAACTGTATTATATCTAATACTAGCTGTTCTTTATCCATTCAAAAATTATAATCTATCACTACGCAATTTCAAGTTGTATTAACTGTAATAACTTTTAATACAAGTCATTCCGTATCCAGTCAAATAAAGGCTATCTTACGCAGACCTAATTCTGATGAATTCAGACCTGATTGGAATATTTGGCATTTTTCTGGAAGGAATTTGCTTAGTTATTCATCTCAAGAGATCAAATTAAAAATAATATATTAAATCAAATCTTTAAGATGGCAGAAAACAAACTAGGGGATTTCAACTTAAATTTCACTTTGTGCTTTTGGTTACTAACTGCCTAACAATCAACAATTCTTGGTATTAATTTCAAATAACAACTGAACGACACTTCTCTAATGAAACAAGTGTAAATTGTACCTTTTCAACATGTTATTTGATTAACAAGGACATTAAAAGCAACAAAACATAAACAAAAATCATTCAATCTCCCAAATATACTGGAATAGATGATAAAATATGGCAAAATATTCTTAAATAGCAACAAACATAGACCTAGAGCAATGACAAATAAATAATGAACTTTGAAAAATAAAAATGTGGTTTGAGTAAAATATAAATGAGCCATTAACTCAAAAGATTTGATGAAAACCTGGTCACATATTCTCGAAAACAATCTTAGCGCTAGAATATCCTACAAACAGTGCTAGAAGTTAAGACTCTAGGACATCCTAGTGCTAAGATCGTTTCGAGAATACATGGCCAGGTTTGTCAGTACACCTCCAGAATCACGTGACTTTGGTATCTTTTTACAAGTCCTCTAGAATAAAGCTCCAGGTTTATCTTGGGGTGAAATCATTTGAGAAACATGGCCGTGGTATGTTGGGATGACAACCAACTGGAAAAGTGAAAAATGAGATCAACGTAAAATGGAATTTCTTTCATAAAGAGCAAAAAATATCTGCATCTTCACAATGTCCAGCTACAACAAACTGCGTCTTATACCTTGACTACAATAGTCACCTTTCTTATTCCATGATACAAGAAAGGTGGCTATTGTAGTTAAGGTATAAGATGATGTACATAACAGCTTGACATTGTGAAGATGAGAGATACCTGTGATATATAGCCTTAGATAAAATCAGGAGATGAAGACTGAGACAAACTCACCAAAGACACAATCCATAAGTAGGCAAAAGTGAGTTTTGATGGGAGTGACTTGGCAGCCTAAAGTTTTGAGGATCAATCTTCAAGTTAGCAATTTTAAAACTCCTGATTTTGTCCAAGAAACAATCACAAGCATGTCAAAGCTAACACAAAAGCTGAAACACTTTCTAAATAAAGAAAAATTTGGAAAATATTTTGAGAAAATTGAGGTAGTGAATGTTGAGTAGTTTTTTATCCTGGTTTGGAGTTTAACCTGCATGAAACAGGTCTAAAGGCCTAAAGGAATTTCGTTGCCTTTATCGTTAATCTAATCAAACTGAATAAACAAAAGGATCAATGTTTCAATTTGAAATAAAGAGATATAGCCCTTTAACTTTAACACCTGTAACTCTGTTTAGATTTAAATTCTGACATCAAGTTCTGCTACAATCAAATGAGGGCTAAGACTTTCAAATATTAAAATTCAACTTTATCAGCTGTTTTTATGAAAGGGTGTCTATATCTCTAAGTTTTTTCAAATCATATTTCAATTGGATTAGTTACTTCATAAATAAAAATGAAAAACCCTGGTTTGAGCTTTTAAACAAATGGAAAAGGGACTGGAATTCAATCTCTGATATCTATATATGGTTAATAAATGAAGAGTATATTGGAAATGAAACAATACTGGCAGTAAAGGATATTTGGTGTAGAAAACAAAAGTAGAAAATAAAATATAAATAGGCTAAAAATAGAAATAATAATAATGCAATCAAGTATCAATCAAAATATATAGGTTTGTACTGATAAATCAAATGCAATCAAGACTTAGGTTGGTATCAATGAATCAAATTCAATCAAGGTTGGTATCATTAAATCAAATGCTATCAAGACATAGGTTTTGTAATCAAATTCAATCAAGACATAGGTTTTGGGTCATGAAATCAAATCAACAATAGATTCAAAGTATAAACTAAAGATTTCCTGTCCACCTTAAAGCTATATCTATACAACTTATTCTTTTCAATCAAATTAACAATTCTTAAAGCTATCCCGAAGACAAAGGGACAAATTTCTAATTAGTTCATGCAATCCATTCATCAATTAGTTATCTCATTAACAAACATCCTTAATTACTCACTAATTATCATCATTAGTTCGTTAACAAATAATCTTTAATTACAACAAAATACATAATAAATATCTAACAACGAATTAACTTGTATAGTACATCTTCTTCTGATGGTTTTATTCTGTAGGAAGAAACCATAGTTCATCTCAAACCTAGACCTTTTTAAACAGCCAAACATTGCTTGTGAACTCAGTGTCTCCCAAGTGCATCTCTGAAAGTTCACAGGTCACAGGTCTTTTCAAAGTTCAAAGGTTATCTTTGTCTTTTTCGTGGTTCTCTAGTTCAAAGGTTGACGCTATGTCTTGTTAATGGTTTCTTAGTTCAAAGGTCATAGGTTAAAAGTCGCATGAAGTCTCTGTCTTCATAATATTATATCTTACGATAATGTAACGATATTCAAATAGGTCTCGTTTCAATCTATGAGCATCCTCTAAAGCACCGATCAAGCCATTCTAATTAAGCATCTACTGCTTTCATATTATAACACTTAACACTGATACATATTGGCACATTGTTATGTCTCCATAATAATCATTATGGCAGTCTCCACTTGGGTTTTCAGGGCTTTTATTTTGATTTTAATTTAACGTCCGTATGGCCCTTAATGCTATTCTTGATCATAAAAACAACGAAAATTAAACTAAAATCGTCAAACTATGAGGGGTGAATGTCGATTTATTTTAAAGAATCTGATTGGTTGTTGAAATTTGATTGACAACTCAATTATGAGCAGCACGAGCAATGTGCAAGAAGAACTCAACCTTATCGCAGCTGATGTTACCACACATGTTACATTTGTAGGGATTCTGGTAACCATGGTAACCCATGTGCATGGTGTACATGACACAATCACGGAAGGCAATATCACAAAATTTACACTCATAGCTATCGGCACGGTGAAACGGGAACTCCTTCATGTGTCTTTTTACTGTCGGTGAGGGGCTCAGAGTCGTCGTCGAATCTTTCCTTGACATCGTGGGACTGGCTGGTATATCTAGAGCCAGGGATTCTCCGTTAATCAATGGTTTTTCACCTGACGCTGGATCATTCAGGATTTTCCATGCCACTTCAGCTCCACGTCTTTGAGCTGTGCTCAGAGGCTTCTTTCGATTTTCGTACACAGCGTTTAAAAGGTCCAGAGGCGAATCTTCTTTTTCTTCATCATTATGATTCTCATTTTCTCCGTTTTTCAAATTTTCATCTTTCTGCCCATTCAAAAATTTCAAATTTGCTTGAATTTTTTCAAATTCCGTCATTGATTTGAAGTTTCCTCCATTGGTTGTGTCCGAGGTTCCATTATGGCGGTCGTAGTCTTCCTCGTTGATCTGTAAATGATTGGATCCATCTGAATCTCCACCGTCACCAGTTGGATTGACGTGTTGGTTGCCACGTGAATCGGAAGCCAGTTCCGAAGGACCATCTCCATTGGATTCCTCACTTTCACTTTCGCTCTCGTACGAAGATTTCTCATCCTGGAGTTTAAGACAAAGAGTGTCTAGTTTGTAAGCTTTACCCTTTCGAGATCGTTTGCGTGGATTTGGTGTAGATGCTTCACCGTTCACGGAGTTCTCGGCACTGGAAGACATTTCATTTTCTTGATATGGTCGTTTATGAGGAAGATATAAACTGTGAGGTGATTCAGGTCTCGGTTTCGAAAGATCGAGTGCTCCTTCTTTGTCCATTCCGTGAGATGACATACCATTCGCTTGTCCAAATTTTAGAGTCATCTCTCTCAAGATGTCTCTATCTCCATCAGCATCTTCTTTACCATCTGAATTTCTTCTTGAACCATTGGTGTATAGCTCTGGGAGGCTTCGACAGCTGATGTTGTTAGCTGAGGAGGAGTGGTTTGGGGTATCAGCTGGCCAGGAGTGAGGACTGGCCTTACAGTGATCACCGTTGGCGTCAGTACGAACATGCAGCATATCGTTATGACTTGATGGTCTCTCTGTTGACTCCTCCCTCTTTCTGACTCCATTTGATTTCAAAGCTTCCTCATTGACAGAGTCTGACGATATTCCGTAAGCGTTGAAGAGGTCTTGGTTTTCCGAGGAATGCACCTTCATCAAATGAGCATTTAATTTATCAGGGTTGTCAGCAATGAAACCACATAAATTACATTTCGCTGGTCCACCTTCCATCATTCTGTTCTGAATTCCTCCCATTGGTGGTAACCCATTAGGACCCATAGCTAGATGTGGGTTCCAGCCAGACATGATCGGCCAATAAGGAGACATCATAGCGCTGTTTATTCCTGGAGGCAAGCTGGGAAGTCCTGGCATACCAAGCATTCCTGGTCTGTGGAAAGGAAACATGTTGTTCATATATTCTGCTTCTTCTCTTTTGGATCCTCTGGGGCCACGAGGAGGTCCTCGTTTAGCTAGGAGAGACAAGCCAGAGAGATCTGCGTCTAAGCCTTGTGGGAGGCTACCGTCGGTGTTGAGTACTGTAGCTGGTTTATGGTTGTATTTGCGTAGGTGGAGCTTCAAACTGTGGCAGTATTTAGTAGCGTAGGTACAATCGGCACATCTATACTGATATACATTGGTGTGTGATTTCATGTGACTGTTCAACATGGATTTATTTACACACGAGTAGTTACATTTGTTACATTTGAATGGTTTCGAGCCGAAATGGTTACGAAGATGATATTCGAGATGATGTTTATACTCTGTAACAAACGGACATCGTGGACACTGAAGAATCTTATCTTCTTTGATATGTGTTCGGGAATGTTGCCAAAAATCAGTCTGAAATAACAACAATGTTTTCGAATTTAACTTCAGGCAGACAAAAAAGTATGGATCAGAGACAAAAAATGAGAATGGTGAAATCAAAATAATTTGGAATATCTATTCAAAAGAAAAGTTAACTCAACAAAAACAAAGTCAGTTAGTTATCTGCATAAATAAACGGTATACGAACACATCACCAAATCTTAGGGATTTAGCCAATACAAGCCAACAACCATGATTTCATGTAATATGCATATATCAGGGGTTAAAGGTTAATAAAACCTACCTTTACTGTAGCTACATAGTCACATTGTTTACAGCGATAAACTTTTGGACGACCAGGCATCGTTCTCTGACTCTTTCCATTCGGATCATTGTCGTCTGTATGAAAATCTTTAATATGTCGTTTCAATCTGCCTTCGGTTCGCGATGTATAATCACAATGTGGACAGCTGTATTCAAAATGGATGCTCATATGCTGATCAAACTCATCCTTGGCATCACCTGAAAATTTTAACAGAGTTTAAAAAATAAACAATAATATATACAAGGATTACAACTGTGGTTCATGAAGATCCTTTCTACCAGGTGATCCTTGGCCTAACCTGTAGGCATTGATCTAGAACAACTTCATTTTTAATGCGTGCTCAAGTGACAAGAAATTTTTAGCATGCACTGTTGAAGTCACATAAGTTCTAACCTTTTAAAATCAAAGTCCAAGGGCAAAAATGAAACTGACAACAAATGGGTTTAAAAGGGTGCGTACTATATTCTAAATTATACAATATAAGTAGATTAAAATAGTTCCTACCTGCATAGCTACACAGATGACAGAAATACTTGAATGCTCCTGGATTCTCACCATTAGGGAAGGTTCCTGGTGGTGCTGACCCTGGTGATATGTTCAATTGTGGAATAGGGGGGAGAGGGAAGCTAGATGGTATTGATTCCTTCAAGTGCATCAACGGATCTCGGGGAAAACCCCCTGGTAGTCCAAAATGGAACTGACTCTTTCCACCATATCTTGATTTCTCTGCACTGTAGGGTGTTTCTGGTGATGAAGTCTCCTGACGATCTTGACTATGGTATCTTTTCAAGGGAGATGATTCTGGTGTATCATTAGAATTAAATGATTGACTGTGGTCTGTACTCTCTGTTTTTATTCCGTAACTATATGGTCTGTTGGGAGACGTCTCTGTTGTCGAGGGGTAGGATTTTTCTGGCGTCTTTTCACCATGCGAGTAATGTCTTTCCCTCTCTTGTTTGTCGTTAAAATGAAACGACTTTTGAGGTGAGTCATCAAATTCAGGTGACTGACTGTAAGATTCTGATTCGCTATAAGTCGGACTAGGTGGAGCCTGATCCTGGTCGTCGTGGTTATTTGAATCCTGTTCTTTTGATTGGTCAGAGTAAGAATTCTTATAATTCTCGTTAAACGTAGAGTTTAAATGAGGAAACGTTTTAAAGTCTTGTTCCTTTGGTAACGGCGATGATTGAACTGAGGATTGTGGGTAAAATGGGTGTGGTCTCTCCGTCTTTATTTCATTACTTGCTGACATCACCCTATCAATGACATCGGCCACTCGTGGGGAGACAGCATCACTCCTGAAACGATACAAATTTATTTTTAAATAAAATGAAAAGGAAACATATTAGATTAGAACTTGGCAGGATATAATAAACCAATCAGAGATCCTCACATACCCACACAGCAGCTTAAATATTCATGTCATTCAAACAACGAAAATACCACCTCAATACCAAATAAGGTATTTGTTTTTGGTGTGTAAATTTGAAATTATATTCAACTATATGGTAAAAATAAAACGAACCACATTGAAATAACTCTTATTTGTTAATTCATTTTATCATTAAATCCCCAACTTGAGCAAAACTCAGCAAAATCTTACGTAAGAATAAACACAAAAACTATATCCACAAACTGACTAACTTTTACTCACAAAAAACAAAAGGCTCAATAAAAAAAAAAACTGTGAATAACTGATGACTCTTAATTGTGTAAATTATTTTAGCATTACAATCCCAGTAAAAACTAAAGACAAATATCCTCAAATCTAACATAATCATCAGAACAAAACAATACTCACAAAAAACAAGGCGTAAATAAAACAAAAAACTGTGAATAACTGATAACAACGTGGACAATCATACAGTTAAATACTTAAAGATAACAATATCAAGAGATGACCATCCAATCATTCCCATATGAAATAAAAAACTCTCTTATCAGTCCTGATCATAAAATACCAACACTTATCAATATCATAAATTAAAGGAGGTCAGTTTTAAAAGTAGGGTTGGCTTTAAAAAATGACCAGATCATGAAGTCAAATAGTTTGAGTTAAAATTAGGATTGGCTTTAAAAATATTTATCTCATTTTGATGGTGATATGTACCATCCAAGATGAGAGCTTCAAAAAAATGATGATGATAAAAGTAGGGCTGCCATAAAAAAGAAAGAGGAGGAAAAGGAGGAATGATGATGATGATGATGATGATGATTGATGATGATGATGATGATGATGATTACTAAAATAACTTAACGTATTTCCAAACAATTTTACCGTCTTCTTTAGCCCATTTTATTTCCAAGCAATCTATAATGTTTTTGAGCAGTTCAGATACAGTTGTTTTCTCAACTAATAGGCCTACACATTCAGTATATATTATAAAACATGGGTTTAGGTCTTTAATAAACATATCATAAATTCAGAAAACAGCAAACAATTTTAAAATGGGAATAAAACAGTTGCTATGTTTATGAAACACGAAAATCTAAAAATAATTTGAATTTTTCCGTCTTTTTTCTGTTTTATCTTCAACGTATAAATTTATCAAAATTTATTTTTAAATCATAAAATCATCCACTTAATGTCAAAATAAATTATCTTTGAATATGGGAAACTGTCAGCTGAGAAAAGGAAATTAAAATTAGTAATATAAATGTTAATTATGGCATTATAATAGATCACTGATATATAAAAAAAAAACTTCATTATTAATGACACTTACAAGAGTTATTCCCCTTTGACCATGTCACAGTATTAGTGCCATGAGTATGTGAATATTTCATCTTTCCCAATGTGAAATGAATTTTCTTTTCATTTGTATCATTATTGTATCATTAAGTTTTTCAAAATCGGTACAATTAAATATTTTCATAAAATCAGAAATCGAGTCTAAATGAAACGACAGGAGTTTTACATCTAATTCTCTATTTTAATCTACTTAAAAACACAATTCACCTATAGATGTACAGACCTAATGTTTCAATATTTTAATCAAATTCAAAATCAAGTTTTTATCTAAAAAATATCAACTTACATAAGAAGAGTTTGACAAGTGAGATATCTAAGAACCATTCTGCTAGAAATCTTCCTACATAATGATCGAAAATTAGAAAATTTGCTTACATCAATTACCGGACATATTTCTGGGTGAAATATGCAGATATTTAAAAACCTGGGCGATATGAACTACTGTACAGGAATAAAGTACTTTAGTTGTTTTGGTCGGTCTCAAGAGATAGACAATCCAACTCATTTAGGTAACATCCTAAAACTAGTCGTACACGATGTTACAAATTTTAAGCTTGGCGTAAATAAAATATTTTACTTTGTTAAAACGGAAATTATCAAGGATACTGATTAAATACAGGCTTTAAATTTCGGTGCAAATTTATCACTTTTATTCTCTTTTTGAATCTTTTTATTTCTGCAAATTTATTTCAGATATTATCAATACTTACATTGAACGCAATGTTACAAATTTCTGAATTCAATTAATCAAGGCCACGTATAAGACTAAATTCTTACAGGGAGTTGCATGAAAAGAACACAATTAACCATGGCCCAGTGAACGTTTAAGATCCTTTGATAGTTTGAAATCAGAATACACTGTTGTAGGCCACTGTCTTGGCAGAATTTTGTTCCTTTTTAAACAAAAGTGACAACGAAATCTTAATTGATATCCTTGTTTGAAAGTTGATAAAGTACACAGTTAAGATGTGAAGATTTGATAGTAGAAATTGTCAGTGATCTGAAGTAGAGTCAAAGTCTAATTTTAGTCATAAAAGAAATTAAAACAGTTGTTTAAAGGACTAACCAACTACTAGTTATACTCTTTCAACTTTTATACAACTTACTAAACAACGGTGTCTAAGCTATGTTAACTTGTAGGTTATTGTCAAGACAGGGTGTGTTACTTATAGTGACAGAGATTTTTCCAGGTTTACTACAGGGGTAATAAGGGGAGAGCACTATATTCACTATTATACAATATTTATTGAGTGTATCAATTCAGTCTCTCTTTATCAGAATACATATAGCCAGGCGCTATATTGTTTCTTTCCTTACTATAGAAAGTTCATCAAATCATCAGCTTTATCAGCTAATAAACACTTCAGTTTTCACAGGAAATATTTCTTATGACATCTTTCTTTTCCTTTCCTTTGCACCCTCTCGAATGGCTAACCATTTTAGTTTTCAAAGGAAATAATATCTGAAGTATATTTTCTTTTCTTAAAAATTTCACAATCTTCACACTCTCTATGTAGGCTCTCTGCTAATCATTAATCGAACCATCTTAATTTTTTATAATACAAATCTATATTGGTCAGTGCTTTTTTGAAAATATTACTATCATCCCCACCCACACTAACCTCTCTCTGAAATATATTTTAATATCTCCCCCAAATTAAGCAAATTCCTAACAATTAGCAGCATATTATTCTATTATTAATTAATTTATCTTTTCACTTTGTGAATAATTTTGTTTCTTTACATCAAATTCTCTGATAAAAATGTTACAACTGACATTAAAGAGAACCCGCCATAATTATGTTATTTATTTCCGCTAATTGGGGATTTTTAGGTTTAATTTTTTCGCACCCTGCGTGGGTTTTATATATT